GCAGTTCCGGTGAGGTAAGAAAATGCTTATCTCGCTGAGCTTGGCCTTCATAATTCCATTCCATCACAGGTGAGTCTTACTGGCCAGCGAAGAGGCCCTCTTGGGGACGTCTCACTCAATGAAATGGATGTCTCTGCAGGGAACTTGGAGGAATACCTGATTTCTCGAGCATCAGAAGAGGGTGGAGCCTTTAATGAGCACTACATTGTGGCAGCTTCTTTCAAAGAAACCTCAGACCAGATGGAAGCAACGGCTCTTTTCAACAACCAGCCATTTCATTCTTCTGCGGCCGCATTGCTACTGGTGGACAACGCCTTGCTGAAGCTAGTAGCTGGACCAAATGCTTCCATCACAGTTGCCAACTACCCACAACCTCGTAACATGACCGAGACAGCAAAGGACCAGCTCATGGAGTGAGTCCAAACTTCCTTTGTTTTTGCTTGCTTGCTTCATATATATCCCACCTTTCGTTCAGGAACTCAAGATGGCATATACATCCATTCCTTGTTTAACAACCAAGTTCCATTCCAATGACCAGGTTGTTAAGCAAAATGGTCACTAAGTGAACATGTGAGTGAGAGGGAAAGAGAGAGATGCTGGAAAGCTCACTGGTCTCTCGTACAGCTATGTCAGCATTACTCTCACTTGGGTGAACATTGTTGTCATGCACATGAAATTTCGTCATAAATGCACACATTGGTCAGAAAATGAATTTTTATTCCTGTTCATTACCTTTGTATTTGTGAATGATTGCTAACCGAGGTAGTCACTAAACAAGGAGTGGGTACACAGAGTTCTCCTATTTCTAATATTTATTTTTTAAAAATTCATATATTTATTAATTGCAAAGTATAGATATATTACACATTGCAATATGTTAACTATACGAGCTAATTTTCCAGTTGCACCTATCTTTTTAAGGACAGGTGTAAAAAAGGAATAACTACCAAAATACACAAACTGTGCAGAATTTTGGATTTGAAGGTAAAAAGATGCATTGGGCCATGCACGAATGCAAATAGGATATCTGTCTGCTGTGCTTTACATCGGCTACATCTTTTCCCAGCATTGCATGTCTGCCCTCCAGAGGAAAAGACATGCTTAATTTAAGGAGGTTTAGACAGGTCCTCTGTGTCCCAACATGCTCTGAAGCACATTTTTTTCCTTCACATCCCAAATATTGCACACCCCTCTGCCTGCCTTCAAGAAGGCTGTTTTTTCAATGTTCCAGTGTTGGTATCAAGCCAGCTATCCCTGATTCCCATCCAGATAAGTTGTAGTTCCACCACAACTGGAGAATGCCATGCTGGGGGAAAATGGTTTCTAGACCCAACTTTTAATCATAGTTTTCCAGCTGACTGTGTTTTGTCTTTGCAATATCCCACAGAAGCCAGACAGGCTTCGCGATCGCCATTAACTTGCTCTACGGAATGGCCTCCTTGTCCAGTACCTTTGCACTCCTGCTAGTCAGTGAGAGGGCCATCAAAGCCAAACATGTACAGTTTGTCAGCGGTGTTTACATGGTTAATTTCTGGCTCTCGGCACTTCTGTGGGACCTCATCAACTTCCTTACACCCTGCACCCTTATACTGGTGAGTCATTCCTGGATGTTTTGTGTAGTGAAGGCTAAGGGATCCTTATCTGATTCCAAACAAGCTTTACTGAATTGAGTTGTAGAGAGGATCCAGCTAAGAGGATCCTCACTGGACCCATCAATCATGTATTGAGAGAGGGGGACATTTCCGAGTGGGGAGCAACCTTGTATGCTCATGTGAAAGAACAAAATGGAATGCAGGATCCCAATGTTTATGCATCTGTTAGATTACATTATTGCATCATTTAATTATTTGAGCAGTGGTTGGACAATGATGGAGATCAGAATCCAGGCTTATATTGAGGTTGCTGAGTCTGTGCAAGGGGATAGATAGGAAAAGGGATAGTGGAAGATGTAACTCATTGCTGGCCTCTGTTGGTTACCTGCCATTCTGGATCCCAGATATGCCAGCCCTAGTAGAGCTGGCCCTTTGCCTTCCTTCAGCATCTTCTTACATTCCAAGGTGGCTTTTCTAACCTGTTGACCTTCAGATATTAAGAATCTCCAGAATTCCCAGCTACGATCATACCAATGGAGAATTCTGACCATTGTAATTACTTTACTGGCCAGCCAAAAAGAATGTAGAACTCAAGAATGTGTTTATGAACTTCATTGAGCAGTTGGGTAGAAGGTTGCTTTTTCCTATTCAGGTTCCTAATCTGGGGAGGGAAAAAGAAGCAAAAATTTGAAACCTGTTCCCTTTAGTGACCACACCTGAGAACAAGTGATAGCTTAAGCCTCTACACAGCTGTTGTCAGTTAAAGTTCTGGATTAAGTGACCCTTCTGTGTCTTAAACTGTAATAACCATTTCTGTTGGTCATTCTTCAGGTGATCTTCCAAGCCTTTGACGTCAAAGCCTTCACCGAGGACAACCATCTTGTGGATATAATGCAGATATTTCTTCTGTATGGGTGGGCCATTATCCCCCTCATGTACCTGCTCAGCTTCTTCTTTTCCATGGCAGCCACAGCTTACACCCGCCTCACCATCTTCAACATCTTCTCTGGCACAGCCACATTCTTGGCAGTCGCCATCATGAGCATTCCTGGTAAGGGGTTTGGACTCGGTCCTTGGTTGAAAAGTTTTCATGGCTTTAAGCCACAAAGGTCAACTGTTCTTCTCACATTTCTTGTCTTCTAGAACTTGGAATGGTGGATCTCTCTAAGACACTGGATAAGGTCTTCCTCGTCCTGCCCAACTACTGCTTGGGACAAAGTATCAGCATGTTTTACCAGAATTATGAGTTCATTCAGTTCTGCACTTCTTCTTTTGAATCACTGGTCATCTGCAAAGTATTTAGTGAGTATACAGTATCATCTTGGATTTAGCTTCTCTGGCAGTTTTGAATTCAACAAGTGGCTGCCACTGAACATAGCAGCTGTGGATTTGGGGGTACCTAGGATTCAGATTGGTGACAGACCCAGTTTTATCCCAAGCATGCTCATGCTATTCTAGATTGTCAAATCTAGAGGCACGTTGCAAGTCAACATATAGTTGCTTGCATCCCATCAAGTAGGAGGTAGATGCAATGTCTAGACACACACACAGAATGCATCAATGTGTTATGAAGCAACTGAAAAGAAGACAACCTTTGGCTTCTTTATAAAGTTCCCAGAGTCCCAACAGACCATTATATTGGCACAGTTTCCCATCTGAGAAGAAGAAATGCCCCAAAATGTACTATATTTCTTAAAATAGGCATTATGAATTAATGAGGTGACACTGAGTTAGGCTCAGTTCCTGGTGAAGGTATGGTCAAATGTTCACCATCCTAACTTCTATTTGGTAATCATTCCAATATTAATCTTATCCATACATCTTATCTATTATCTTTCCCTTCTTCTGTTCCATCAACTTTCTCAGGTATGATTGTTTTCTATAGTCCATAATTCATTCTCATCACCTGCCCAAAGATACATGTATCTACTTGCTGATTGTTCACTCATGGAAGTAATCAGCCTTTGTCCAGGGCTGACTGACCAGTTCTTTGCCAGCTCATGGTTCTTTTAGTAACCATCTTGAAATCCATAGTTCAAATACATCTATCTTAATTCTCTCACTCTTTCTCGACTGTCCAGTTTTCACAGCCTTGCATTATCACAGGAAAGTTTATTGCTTTAGAATAGAATAATAGAATAGAATAATAACTTTATTGTCATTCCACTCTACACCAAGTGCATAATAAAATGAAATTCCGTTGCAATTGGCTTACAATCATACACTAAAATACTGTCCAGTTTTCACAGCCTTGCATTATCACAGGAAAGTTTATTGCTTTAGAATAGAATAATAGAATAGAATAATAACTTTATTGTCATTCCACTCTACACCAAGTGCATAATAAAATGAAATTCCGTTGCAATTGGCTTACAATCATACACTAAAATACAACTGAGAGACCTAAGTTACTATAAAATATACATTCTATACATTTGATATTAAACATTCAGACCTCTAATAGCCTGGGGGACAAAGCTATTTCCCAATCTGGCTGTTCTACATCAGATACAGCAGAACCTCATCCCAGAAGGTAACAAAGAAAACAGGCCATGATGAGGATTAACTCTTCTGATCTTTGTTGCAATGGAAAGGACTTTATCCTTCATAAAATAGGCAACTTCCATACATTCCTTATCCAAAACCCAGGGACACCACCCTTCTCAACCCCACCCAAATTAGGGGCATAACTCTGCTCACTTTGCATGATTGCCCCATACCCTTGACTCTGCAATAGAAGTTTGGTGGAGACTTCAGCCACCAGAAGGTTGCGATCTCCTGAAATAATCCTTTTCTTCCTCCCATCTTCCTCTCCTGACTTTGCTCTTTCCTCTTCCAGATATCAGCTACCAGACCAACTACTTTGCTTGGGAAAGCCCAGGCGTTGGAAAATACTTGACAGCTCTGGCAGCCCAAGGACTCTCCTTCCTTCTCCTGCTCTTTCTCATTGAGACTAACCTCCTCTGGAGAATGAGGACCATTGTCTGCGATTTACGACGGAGGCGAAAATGGGTGAGGCTTTTGTACAGAGGAGTCCCACTCTTGGCCGAGTCCTTTGGAGCTTCTCCAAGATAGACTTTCCACCCAAATTCTGTGTGATATAATGGGTGGAGAAAGTGGCTTCATCTGATTAAAACAAAGCAAATTGTGGATGCAACAATATGCCTAGAAGTGTGTACGTAACACCCAGTGAATTTTCAGAGCTTGGGAAAGTTGCTGGCCTGCTCTCAAGAGTTACAATGATCTAAGCCTTCAAAGTGGACCTCAGCAGCCTTCCACAAGCTGCTATCTCAGTATAATGTTAATATGGTGGTGGGGAGTCATTAAATGCTTGCAGTATAGTCATATTAAGTATATTGAATTTATTTGATTTCATCTATCCTTCTGGACATAGGTAGGTATTTTATATACCTTCTTCCTACTGAGACCAATACCCAAGGGGGCTAACTTTGCCCCCAATCCTCAGAGTTGAAAAACATAAATTAAAACTAAATCGCAATTCAAAGCCAGCAGAGTGGGAGGAAAGTTGCATCGTTCTGGACGTACTGAAGGTCTAGAACAGTGTTTCTCAACCTTAGGAACTTTGAGATGTGTGGACTTCAACTCCCAGAATTCCCTAGCTAACATGCTGGCTGGAGAGTTCTGGGAATTGAAGTCCACACAGCTTAAAGTTGCCAAGGTTGAGAAACACTGCTGTATATCAATACAATTTATTGGGATTTATTAATGGCTTATTATATCAGTTTCTAAGGATTCAGGGAATGAGTCTATAAGTTGCACATGAAAGAAACCAACCTTTTTGTTAAAAATATTGCATTTAAACATAAGAATATGTGCTGTGCTTGTCACAACTGCTGCCTTCTTAGAAGAGGCATGTCCTACTGTATGATGAATAGAAAGCTAGTTTTATTTATTTCTTTTAAAGAATATATTACTCAGATAAATCAAAATGATATGCAGAGGTTTTTCTCCACTGATGTAACTATAAATTCAGTATTACCCTCCTGCTTGTTTTATACGGAATAAAACAATCACTTGCTTCTGATGTCTGCCTTTGGTTGACTTTCATGCTGTTCAACAGGTCATGCTGTTGAACCAGGTTCCAGTGCTACCAGAAGACCGGGATGTTGCTGACGAGAGAAAGAAGGTGCTGGAATCACCCACAGCATCCATTTCTTCACTGAATAGTCCTCTTGTGATTAAGGAGCTTACCAAGGTAGATGTTCAGCATAGCTTCTAAACCTGGTATCTCTCACCAAAACCCCATCAAAATAATGCAAACCACTTTTGGAGTGCCTCCTTTCTAGGCAGAAAATCCCACCATTTCTCCTAAGAAATGTTAGATGGTCCTACTGGGTCATGAAGCCCTCAAAGTAACTCTGTGGTTCTCCAACAGTGGGAACTGTACTGCTAGAAGGATAGGATGCAATGACTCTAGATAGGATGCAGTAGTCCATAATGTTAAGTAAACCCTTAAATCTTATTGCAAGCAATAAATATAACAGAATCCCTGTAAATACAGAAATGGTCTTCTGTGAAAAAGGATTGGCTTTTATTTATTGATTTGATTTTTATCCTGCTCTTATCTTGGGTCAGCTCAAGGCATGTCCATACCTAACCTTCCATGGCTAAAGGAGGAGAATTCATGGTCTCCTGGTTTCTAGCCTGGTGCTTTAACCACTCCACCAAACTGCACTAAACATTTGCTTCAATTACAGTGGGACTCAGGTTCTTTGTTACGGGAATTGGTTGAGAAAGTTGAGAACCACTAGAGCAGTGTTTCTCAACCTTGATAACATTAAGATATGTGGACTTCAACTCCCAGAATTCCCCAGCCACAAGGAAGTCCACACATCCTAAAGTTGCCAAGGTTGGGAAACCCTGCACTAGAGAGTCATTGGTAAGCGGGATGTGCAGAAAAGCAGGGTATAAGTTGAAATAACCACACCATCATCATCATCACCATCAGTAAGATAAACACTAATCACAATAACAAGAAGCAATAAAATAAGATTTACAAACAACAAAAACATTAATAGTAATCATAGCATCTCATAATGAATGGTGATTTATATATGTATATATATACAATAATAAAAATAATGAATAATGAATAATACTAGCAATAATAATGCCAGCTTTATATATTTCACATCTGGCACTGTTGTTTTCCCCAACTTTTGTTTTTCCAGGTGTACAGTAGTAGGGATTCCTGTCTGGCTGTGGACAGGATCTCTCTCGCGGTCAGCAAAGGAGAGTGTTTTGGCCTTTTGGGTTTCAACGGGGCAGGCAAAACGACAACCTTCAAGATGCTGACGGGGGACGAGAGCATCACCTCAGGAGATGCCTATGTAGATGGGCACAGCATCCTGGCCAATATCAAAAAGGTAACGGGCGAGTTGAGACAAGATGACAGTTGTGGCTGATGAAGTTGACGAAGTTATGGATTCCTGCTCTGGCCTGGATGATGCTTGAGGATCCTTCTGATTCTGGCATTTTGTGACCCCAAGGAATTTGTGCTGGCAATATCTGCGATGGGCTAACTCAAGGGTGCAGGCTGTTTCACTCTCCAGAATCTATTCTGCAAAGAGAAAAGACTGAGCGAATAAGTCAGGCAGAGAGGGGGGAATGACAGATGTCCAAGTCCTCATACAGATTCATTTATGGACAGGGGTGGTTGTTACCCTCCCCACCTAGCTCAGCTCCATGATGGGAAACCTCCAGGCTTCAGTGGGATCTCAAAAGCTTTGCCTGCAACACCTTTCAAAAGTGGCTGGCAAATTGTCATTCTGAAATGGGAGGGGAGCGGAAGCCATCCCTTTAACTGTATTTAAGTAACTAAACTAAATTCAACTTGGGTGTTGGTCTGGGGCCCTACCACATCTTTATCTTGATCTTTGTCCATTTTGGCGGGTATGAATTCCAGTACACCATTCTAGGGCCACCTACAGCCTTGGACCATTCTGCAGCCTTGATTTGAGCTGAGTCTTGAGAGGTTCCCAGGGGCCCAAAACTTCCTGGGGGAGGGGGATCCATGGTGAGCACGGCTGCTATGCTCCCCTTTCCAGCTGTTGTTTTTCGTGACAAGTAGCAGCAAATACTAACCATGAGTGCATTTCTCAGGTCAACATTAGGCATTTGGGGAACTGGAAGGGAGAGACACAATTGCAAGGTGCAGTTAGGATCCTTCTAGCTTGCTGACATGGCTACCTGCAGAAGCTCAAGGAGACTAATGCGGGGATCGCCCCTCATTTTACTCTTGCAGCCACACTCCTGGGTGACTGAACATGATTAGCTTGTGGTTTGTGGTTGAGTGAAGACTTGAATCTGGCTCTTCTTGGTCCCACTCGAGCCCTCTAAGCTGTACTAAACACTGGTTTGGAGGAGCAACCTGATGGCTACTTGCTATGGAGCTAATTGTCCAAAATCACCCCCATATCCCCAAACCAGGATAATTAAGACCATCACTCTTTAAAGGTTGGTAGGAACCCAAGGGCTTCCACAAGCAGGTAGGCTAGTGATGTTCTTCTCAACTTGATTTTGTCTGCCTTCAGGTCCAGCAACGGATCGGGTACTGCCCTCAATTTGATGCACTTTTGGATCACATGACCGGGAGGGAGACCTTGAGCATGTATGCCCGTCTCCGAGGCATCCCTGAGCGCTACATCAGCAGCTGTGTGGAGAACATGCTTCGGGGGTTGCTCTTGGAACCTCATGCCAACAAGCTCATCCGCACGTACAGGTGAGAAGCATTCGGAACCAGAGGTGGGTTCACATCCTACGCTAATCCATGATGTGATTTCTTTGGGACAGAGTGGGAACTGGGGCTAAACTGTGATTTGTTGAATGGTAGGAAACCCTGATTAGAAATTGCTGGTTGCAACTGGGTCCCACCACTCTCTTTCTCATGGCCTTTCTCCTCTCTGTCTCTGCAGTGGTGGGAACAAGCGGAAACTGAGTGCAGGAATTTCTCTCATTGGGGGACCTCCTGTGGTGTTCCTGGATGAGCCCTCCACTGGCATGGACCCTGTGGCCAGGCGCCTTCTATGGGATGCTGTTGCTCGGACACGGGAGTGTGGGAAGTCCATCATTATCACTTCTCACAGGTTGGACCTGTTTGTCAGTCTTCCATCACCCTGGGGGAAGGGAACAGATCTCCCTCCCCCTCTAGCCTTTGTCAGCCTCAGTTTTCCCATCAGTTGACTGGAACAGTCATGACCTATCTCACTGCACCTTGTAAGACCAAACATAAGGAAAAGGAAAAGTAACAAATTGAAAGCCCACTGGATGGGATGATCCTACCAAGTAGGTGAGATATTGTCAGGCTCAGCCCAAAGAGACAATGCAAATACAATGCAACTCCACGAGACAGTGCAAATACAGTTCTGTTGCGTTTATTAGCTTCCACCTCAAGAATCTCACCAGACTGAACCCAAGTTCCCAAGCCAGCCAGCCACAACACTGTGAATTCCTCAGGGAGGTACCAGCCTCATCTTCTTGAACTTCCCACGCTCCTGTTGGGGGCTGAGAACACGCTTATCTCCCTGAGCATGGCCTTCATAAGTCCATTCCATCACAGATATAGATAGAGTTGGGGTTTTCCAAGGGCTTTTTCTTTTGGGAGGGGAGCAGAGAGATCATTTGTTTTTTTAATATTCTGCACTGAGCTTGTTCCAGTCACCCACCCCTGTTTTTGGAATAATAGGAAGCTGAAATTCAACAGTGCAGTCAACATGGGCTGGAGGGACAAAGTTATGGGGTGGTTGCAGCTTTTAGAGATGTTGGTGGACCAGCCCTGCCACCCAAATTGAGCTCTTCTTCTTCCTGCTGGTTCTCAGCTCTCCTACATCCACAGCTCTTGCATTTGCTATTCATTTCCCCCCTCCCTAATGTTTCCACCCCTTTCCTGCAGCATGGAAGAGTGCGAAGCGTTGTGCACCAGGTTGGCTATCATGGTGAATGGGCAGTTCAAGTGTCTGGGTAGCCCTCAGCACCTGAAGAGCAAGTTTGGCAGTGGGTACACCCTGCTGGCAAAGACCCATAGCGATGAAGAAGGCCACGTGGAAGACTTCAAGGCCTTTGTGGAAAAGACATTCCCCGGTAAGCCCGCTTTGCAATCACGCACATATTCCAGCTATCCATATTGGGTCGTCCTGCCCCCTGTTCTGTCTTGCCAGAAGCTCTTCCTTCTTTAGAGTCCACACGCAGGGATGTGCAAAGCGGTTGAAGGAGGGGCGCGTGCACAGCTGCTTTGCTTCATTGCAATGCCAGTTGGATGTGCACCCCAGTTGAGAGAACCAGGATCATTTTGAGAGGCCACTGCACCAGCCTGCCAAAAGACCCAGCTGTCTTATGGCTTCACGCCAACTCACCGTAACTAACATGTTCTGCAAAGCACAATTCGTTTCTTAAAAATAATCTTTACTGAAATTTTTAATAACAATGCAGTAGTAAAAGACAATGCAAGCGAAACTTAGGAGGTGCAAAGAAAAAAAAGAAAGAAGCACAATTGTGAATGCCTTCTTCAACTGTAGAGAGCTTCCTTGAAAGGTTAAGGAAGAAGTATGCAAAGGGTCTCCTTTTCTTTTTCTTTAAGCCTTGGGGGAGATGGGGCCTCCGCTTTCCTATCTGTAAATTGGGTACAGCAGTGACCTCTCTCAAGGCCCCACACAGGGAAAAGATATTGAAAGCGCAATAGCAATGAAGAGAAGGCCTGTTGCCCAGTTCTACTGTGGTGGATCATCTTTTGCAAAAGGTGATTTCCTCAAAAGCAAGATATTAACCAAAGGAGATCTGACTGTGTAGAGAATTTCCAGGGTTCCTTTTGCCCATCAGAGCACCTGTGGCAGTTACGTACTGAGTTGTGTGCATTATATAGGAAGTTTGTTATTGGAGCATATTTTCATTCATTCATTCATATTTATCAATTTTAATCAATGTTTATTCTGTTTTTACTGTAAACCGCCCAGAGTCACTCTGCAGTGAGATGGGCGGTGACAAATGTGAAATATAAATATAAATAAATATAATCAGAATTGAAAATCGGTTTAAGTTTATCCTGCACATATTATATTCTATATTCATTCCTTTTCTCTCTATAAGAGGGAGAGTTGCTGTTTAATCCACATTCCTGAGCATTGGATAGATTGAATTTTATCTCAATCCAGGACCAGGCTGTAAAAAGAAAACTGTGTGTGCACAACAACAAAATGGATAATATAAATTGTAAGCATTAAAACACAGCCGCACTTAAACCGATGGGTCAGCCTTGATATCCCCTTGAGACCATCTGCTTGCTAGTAAGCATCTTCCCAGAAATCAATGTTGTCCCTTTCAAAATAATGTCAGGATTTCAATCAGATAAAATGAGTGTAATGTGAAATGGGTCAGATCTGCCTAGGGGGTGTTATTAATAAGTGAGGAAATTCTCATAAAATGAACGATGCAGTGAAACTCCTTGGACCTTGAAAGACAGGGCAATAGCCATTCTGTAGAATAGAGCACTGTTTCTCAACTTTGACAACTTTAAGAGGTGTGGACTTCAACTCCTAGAATTCCCCAGCCAGCATGGCTGGCTGGGG